GATGCACATGTGTACATGGTCAGAGAGAGCAGATGGACACATTGTCATATGGTCAGTTATATAATGTGGGACTATGGACCAGTGTAATGATTCTTCCATAGTTTAATGTGCATCAGTGTGGATAAATCCCAGAAAGCTAGTGTTGAGTGACAAAAATATACAGGCATGTGCCACGTACTGTTGCTTCAGTCAACAATGGACTTCGTATATGATGGTGGTCCCAAAAGATTATAATACCATATTTTTACTGTACCTCTTATGTGTTTAGATACACAAATACTTACCATTGTGTTACAGTCGCCTATAGTATTCAGTACACTAACATGGTACAGGTCTGTGGCCTAGGAGCCCTAGGCTGTACCACGTAGCCTAGGTGTGTAGTAGGCTATAGCTTGTGAAGTACTCTCTATGATATCCGCACGATGAAATCACCTAGGGACACCCTTGTCATATTAAGAGATGCGTCACCGTAGTTCTGTTTTTCATGAAGTTCAAAAGCAAGTTCAACAAACAAGACATTATTTTAAAACTGTAAAGTATAGGGAGCAATGAACAGAAAGTTGAGGATTGTGGTTCCCTCCTGCAGGGAGGGGAAGAGTGGAGATCTGATCAGGGATCCGCTGACAGGGAGCTTTGTCAGTGGTGCTGTTCTGTTTGTCAAGTTGAGTGGTAGACGCACGGGTGCTGGTATTGTTGTTATGCTTTATGACTTAGAGATACGTAATATGTTCTTTCTTTTATTGTGTAAAATACATGAAATTTACCATTTTGACCATATTGAAGTTTAAAGTTCATTGGTATCAAGTGCATTCAGGATGTTGTGCAACTATCACCACCTCCTGAAGAGTTTCAGAAGTTTTTATCACCCCAGAAGAAAACCTTGTACCCACGAAGTGGTCACTTCTCATTTCCTCCCTCTCTCCAACCACCGGCAACCATTAATCTGCTTTCTGTCTCTATGCATTTGCTTACTCCACACATTTTGTATAGATGCAGTCATACAATATGTGGCCTTTTGTATCTGACTTCTTTCACTTACCATATGTTTTCAGGATTTGTCCATGATGTAGCATGTTTCACTACTTAATTCCTTTTTATGTAATGGATATACCACATTTTGTTTATCCATTCACCCATCCATGGATGTTGAATTATTTCTACATATTGGCCACTGTGAATAGGGCTTCTATGACCATTTGTGTACAAATTTTTGTTTGAGTACCTGATTTCAATTCTTTTGGTCATATATCTATGAACAGAATTGCTAAATCACATGATAATTCTATGTTTAACTTATTGAGGAACCACCAAAGTGTTTTCCACAGTGACTGTAC